CATCTCACCTCATGAATATTTATGAATATGAAACATGATAGTGCTGACAAACATGATCAAAATGTAAATTAACCATAGTTGGTTTATGCAAGCAACACTTCTCGAAGTGAAGCATGTTAGACCACAGTGTCACGAATTTCATGACAATGATTAATTTTATGAATAATGTTTTGCAAATAAATAATAGCAATGATTATAGTCAACGCTGCTTCTATCCCTGGCCGCGTTATACCAAAAACCTTAATGAGATGGTTCTTGTTGTTACCCTGCCTGAAGCTTGTATTAAGGGGCTAAAACAAGGACTGGTTGACTTAAACCACGGCATAGTTTCTCACTGGTCAAAAACTATCAAACCGGCGTTACACACGCACGAACGCACGCACACACATGGACAGTCACACATACATACACACGCACGCACACAAACACACCCGCGCACGCACGCACAGTCACACACAGTCACATACGCACACATATAGACACACACAGTCACATACACGCACACACACATACACACGCACGCATACGCACGGACACACACACGCACGCACAAATACGTAATATAAATTGTATCACAGCTATTGCTTGTGGTCAGTGCTGGTATTGTATAGCGTTACTGAAGTAGAATGGCACTGTCAAGCTGTGAATGGCATGCGTCCAATACACGTCTTGCTAATATTCAGTGTGTTTCCCTTGTGGGTCCTGTGGTTGTACTGAGGTCATGCAATTTGTCTGGGTGGATATGTGAATAGTGGGTATTTAGCGGATTGAATGTATTCTCTCTGTGGCACACCCCACATACAATGGGTCGGTGAACATATCACGCCATCTGTGAATATCATTTACTTAGATGACAAGAAGTTTTCGTTTACCGTCAAAACATAATCAATAGCTATGCCGTTGGCCTGTGGTGATGTATTGTCCTTTTGTCATATTTAATATCTGATAGACGACGGTAGTTATGTTGAATGTCTAAGACGTGACACACACGCACCGATAGTGTAACCTACTTGAATTGAATCAAATTATTAGTCATGGGTTGTCGACTCTGAAACCTTTCGGGCTTTTGTCTCGTGACATGGATCATATGTTGTGCTGTCTTGAAATATCTTGGAGCATCTGAGATTCCAAATGACTTGAATGCAGCCACGTTTACAAAACGCCCCAACCAAACAACTTCCGTCGTCAACTCAGTGTCTCAATGGTCTTGTTCCGTGTATTTAAGGAGTCCAATATTGCAATGTATGTCGTAATCATGGCGTATAGACTTTTATTAACGGCATATACACAATGAGTGAGTGAGTGAGTGAGTGAGTTAAGATTTATAGTCACATCGGCAATATTTCAGCCATATCGTGACTAAATCAAGTTGTACAGAAATAATACATAACTATAAACTATAAAATCTGTCGGCAAAGGACAGTAAAATAACTAGAATATCACAGCTATAAATATAAAACTAGTAAGTAACTATAAAATTTGGACTAATCAATACAATACATTATAAGAGTTGGCTAGAGATCACCAGCAACCAAGGGACCATGGGGACTTACGGTGCATCTGCTTCCTGCATGGTACCCCTGCAGGATTTACACCATCCCTCTGGTCACTGGTGATTATTAGTAAGTTTAAGCCAAAGCATTTAAAAACAAACAAGTATTCTGCGATTAAAACCAAGGAAAATGAAAAATACTTTGAATGAAATAGGACTTATGTACCCTCTCAGGGGGACAATTATTTTACGTTACTTCAACCCCCTTTGAAGGTGCAGCCACTAACAATCTCAGTTATTAATTCATTCTTCCAAATTAAAAATATACTTTTTACAGGCATATACACAAAGCTAACCAGCCACTGTGTACATATAATGACGATAAACCAGTACTATTGGACATTTTAAAATGGATATCTACAGATGGACACCACTAGATCAAAATGAATGAGATGAGTATGTGAAAGTGATACCAATGATGTTTGTACGCGCTCAGCAACATTCCAGCTATATGACGGCGGTCTGTAAATAATCGAGTCTGGTCCAGACAATCCAGTGATTGACATCATGAACATCAATCCACGCAATTGGGATACGATGACATGCATCAACCAAAGCGGGCCTGACCACCCGATCCCGTTAGTCGCCTCTTACGACAAGCATAGTCGCTTTTTACGGCAAGCATGGGTTGCTGAAGACCTGTTCTACCCCGGATCTTCACGGGACTGATACCAGTGATCTATCTCTGAAGAAATGTTGCACAAGAATACAGTTGATGTCAGTTGATCTGTCCATGATGATTTGCCATACGCGATATATGTGCTTTTGGGCCTATGTGAGGTTCACACTATAAAACATGATAATTATCGCATACAAAGTTTCTTTTAGCCGTGAGCTATTCTGTTATATTTAACCTGAATCAGTTCTCACGAGACACGGAAGCAAGACATTTGTTAAATCAACATACTGTGGCAGTTAAAGTCCAGAGAGACGTCCTGAGGCAGGTTATATATATTTTTAATGTTCCTAGCAGATAATTCCCATATGCCGTATAACACGGCCGGGATCCAACCATCGACCTCACGCTCTGTACTGTGGTACGGATGCCCTTCCAGACGCAGATTGAAGCCGTTGACCATCTTGGTAAATGTATAACGATCCACGCAATGACAATGATTAATGTTATGAATACCGTTTTGCCTAAAAATACTTACTACAGACAAACCCTTTCCATATTCATAAGAAATCTCGAGTCGATTTTTCAATTCCGACTATATCCCGAGCATGTGTTTATGAATCACAGAGCCACGACCACGCAATGACAATGATTAATGTTATGAATATTGTTTTGAGTTTAAATAATAGCAATCATCATAGTCAACGGCAATTGCTCAATAGACCGCCTCCGTGGCCGGAGAGTGGAAAGTCGGTGCTTCGATCCCCGGCCGCGTTATACCAAAAAACTTTAAAAGATGTGATTGTTGTTACCCTGCCTGGAGCTTGGCATTTAGGGGATAAACAAGAACTGGACGACTTAAGCTGCTGCATGGTATCTCAGTGGTAAAGAACTATAAAACAACAACAAATCTGTGATGTTCATAAGCGAGGACTCGCTCTAAACGTTATTCGTGAACACTCCAATGTTCGTATCTAGTGAAGGAAGCAACCTGTGAGAGCCGGGGTAGAATAGATCTTCAGCAACCCATGCTTGCCGTAAAAGGCGACTAACGGGATCGGGTGGTCGGGGTCGCTGAATTGGTTGATGTATGTTATCGTATCCCAATTTCGTGGACCGATGTTCATGATGTCAATCACTGGATTGTCTGGTCCAGACTCGATAATTTACAGACCGACGTCATATAGCTGGAATATTGCTGAGTGCGGCGTTAAACACCAAACCAACCAACCAACTGAAAGAAGCATATATATCTCTCCAGCAACGATGAAAGAACATAGTCATAGTAAGCTTTGACAATCCCAGTGAGATCCAGAAACATGGAGTGAGTCGTAACAAGGAAGTGTCGGCCGACTGAAGGATCCGTCATCCCCGGGGACCCCAACCATCATTATCCCCACACCCTGACACTGTTCCCCGTCTCACGTAAACACACATGCAATGAATCACCCGGGTTGTGCAGCGATATTGGCTCTTTTTGATGTGCTTGATGACTGTTGACAATGCATCGTTGTTTGGGGTCACTTTGACCTACACGGCTGTTATATGTACACGCCTCTAGCGGGCTTCATCTTTGGGATTGCCGAGGTCACAGTGACAAACTAGAACGCAAACAACAATCCCCCTATCCCCCCATCCCCCTGTTCCGGACCTGTATGTCGTAGCAGCCCATTAAAGTGTAGCCAGAGCAAACTAGTCCTCAGCTGTTTAGGCTCTGTAAAGATGTTTTGTGATGTGATTTGAATACAGCCATGCATGCACATGCATGTACATGTGAATAGTTATCCAAACTGCCATTTTGTTCAATACAATTTTAACGCATATCTGTTTATCTTGAAAATATTTCAAACAGGGCGCCACTATTACTATACTGAGAGGTAAGCATATGGATGATTTAGCATATGGGATAACACCATTCAAATCAAATCAAATACTTATTATTTCGTGTTTAGATCGGCAGAACAGTACACCACAGTACTGAATGCAAGAGGCAGCACAGTACGGGTACATAACAGCATTGGGCAGTGGTGTTAAATGGGGTTTAACGTCGCATACAAGATTATTGTACTTGTATAGCGACGTGCATGCAGGCGTATGTGGCTGCTTGTACTAGTCCGGACTAATGCCGGTTGAATAGTTCTTGACCACTGAGATACCATGCCGTAGTTTAAGTCAACCAATCCTTGTTTTAGCCCCTTAATGCAAGTTATAGGCAGGGTAACAACAAGATCCATCTTTTGAAGTATTTTGGTATAACGCGGCCGGGGATCGAAGCGCCGACTTTCCTCTCTCGGGCCAGACCACGGGGGCGGTCTATTGAACAGTGACCATGTGTGTATGTATGTGTGTGCATGTATGTGTGTACATGTGTGTGTGTGACCCGTGAAGATTCCGGGGTAGAATAGGTCTTCAGCAACCCATGCTTGCCTTAAAAGGCAACAATGCTTCTCGTAAAAGGCGACTAACGGGATCGGGTGGTCAGGCTCGCTGAATTGGTTGATGCATGTCATCGATCCCAAAGGCGTGGATGGATGCTCATGATATTGATCACTGGATTGTCTGGTCCAGACTCGATTATTTACAGACCGCCGTCATATAGCTGGAATATTGCTGAGGGCGGCGTTAAACAACCAACCAACATGTGTGTGTGTGTGTGTGTGTGTGCATTTGTGTGTGCCATTACGTGCGTGCGTGACTATAAGCCGGTTACAAAGTGCTAGCCGCCCACTAAAGTAACATGCCACTGGAATATGCCAACACATAAACTGGCAATTTGAAAGGTTGATATGACCAGCAAACAAGAGAGTCTACGGTGAAACCAACAAAACATAATTATTATTATTAATGATTTTATTTATCGACGCGTACAAAAACACTTAACATCGCCTGAAACTGTTTCATAATTCCACAGACAATACATATTCATCAGGCCATGCAGCATGGCCCCCGTCTAGCTACATTGGGGCAAGAATAACATGTAACAATTGTATAATGAATATGACATATGAAAATAAATATCTATTGCAAAATTCTAGAAAATTCCAATGCCTCTGACAGGGATATGTGCCTCGGTGCATCCTCACATCAAGTAGACTTAGGCCCCGTGAAGATCCGGGTTAGGATAGGTCTTCAGCAACCTATGCTTGTCGTAAGTGGCGAATAACTGGATCGGGTAGTCCGGCCCGCTGATGCATGCCATCCTATCCCAATCACTGGATTTTCTGGTTCAGACTCGATTATTTATAGACCGCCGTCATATTGCTGGATTATTGTTGACTGCGGCGTTAAACAAACAAACAAATAATGTAGACTTGGACAAACGAATTGACGTAACACTGCTGCGTTACGACTTTCAGTTTTATCCCGTAAGTCTACTGAATGTTGGTACAGCGAACATGGCTGTGGTTTGACAGATCAACGTTTACGTGCGGGATTCGAGCACCCGATTAATGGATCATGTAGGGTGAGGGTACGTATCTCCACACAGCGACATGCGGCACCTTACACCACCAGTGTCTTGGACGAGTTTACCACATCCACGTGGAAAGTGTAATGAACCCATCGGTTACATATTTTAGTCAATGTCTTTTATATTGCAACACAGTAAAATCTCTCATTGGTTATACACATAATCTGCCAAGGAGTACAGACCTTTAAAACAGAATATACAGAATACTGAGTACAAAGATGAAATTATTATGGCAAGATATGGGAACAACATTACTTTTCAAAGCCTGACACGGTATAGTTAATAGCCGCTTAACGCCAAGCAGTGTCCTTACATTGATATGTAAAACAATTAAAACAGTTATTGAAGCCTATAGTCAATAATATTGAAGCTTCATCCCAATGACCTGTAAGTATTGAAGCTTTAGGCCAATAATATTGAATCCTCATAGCGATGACCTGTAAGTATTGAAGCTTTAGGCCAATAATATTGAATCCTCATAGCGATGACCTGTAAGTACTGAAGCTTTAGGCCAGTAATATTGAATCTTCATCACGATGACCTGTAAGTATTGAAGCTTGAGGCCAAAAGTATTGAATCTTCATCACGATGACCTGTAAGTACTGAAGCTTTAGGCCAATAATATTGAATCTTCATCCCAATGACATGTAAGTACTGAAGCTTTAGGCCAATAATATTGAATCTTCATCCCAATGGCCTGTAAGTACTGAAGCTTTAGGCCAATAAAATTGAATCTTCATCACGATGACCTGTAAGTACTGAAGCTTTAGGCCAATAATATTGAATCTTCATCACGATGACCTGTAAGTACTGAAGCTTTAGGCCAGTAATATTGAATCTTCATCCCAATGACCTGTAAGTATTGAAGCTTTAGGCCAATAAAATTGAATCTTCATCACGATGACCTGTAAGTACTGAAGCCTTAGGCCAATAATATTGAATCTTCATCCCAATGACCTGTAAGTACTGAAGCCTTAGGCCAATAATATTGAATCTTCATCACGATGACCTGTAAGTACTGAAGCTTTAGGCCAATGATATTGAATTCTCACCAATGACCTGTACGTATTGAAGCCTGGATCAGACAAAGGCGTCGGTTCGATGGCAGCCAAGAAACCAGTCAGATGTCACAGGTCAATATCTTAATAGTCTCTTGCGAAGAACATGGATATTAGGGCTTATTCTGCTCTGGAATCTTCGCTGATTCACGGTATGGACTTAAGAATGTATATTTTACGTATAGTATGTATTTGACGAAACACAAATGGCACACAGTTCGTAAAAACATGATGTAGTTTATTGGTTGAGTTGAACTGAACCATTATCTACATCAGTAGGAACCACAATTACTGACATTGCTGTATTGATGAAACTCAAGTTTCACAATAAAGGCACTACTTTTAAGCAATTATTTCAATTTCGCTCACAGATCGAGAAGGAGAATTTTGAGATTTCTCCTCCTGAACCTCATGCGCGATCTTTTCGAATAAGTCGCAGTTGTCAGCATCTATATACTTCTTAAGTCTTAGAAAAGCGTTCAGGTAGCCATTACTGGTAGTGGTGACGTTGTCGAGCCTGGCGACGATCACACGGCCGCGACGCTGTTTGACCATGATATTGTAGGTCTCCGTGAACTCGAACATCTTGGAGGGATTGTCCACATAGCTACCAGACAGCACAATGACAGCTGCGCGGCTTCTCTGGAGCGTCTTGATGACTTCATCAGTGATCACTGTCCCCGGGTCCATGTCCCGGAGCGGGAAGTACAGTCTGAGGTTGTGATTCTGCTCCAATTCATTAAGTAGTTTCTTGGACCAGACTCGGTCAGACTCACTCTCTCCATCCACCGACACAAACAAATCGTACTCCGAGTCGTCATCCCTAGTTCGCTTCAGCTTTTTTGCACCCGTATGAAGAAGGTGCATCAATTCATACCGAAACACCACAACAAGGGCCACCAAAAGCACAAATATGGCTGCAAATGTTCCCAACAGGGCGCTGAATATCTTAGGAAAAGGACTGCGAATCTGACAGCTAAGTAACTTTTTGTCTGCTCGTACAAGCTGTACCGTATTGCCCGCTGGCATCAAGCAAGTGATGTCGGTGACGTTGTAGTTCCGAGGTTGGTATCTGAGCCACAGTGACATCCACATGGAGGAACAGCTGCACACAAATGGGTTTCTGTTGATTTCTAGTTTAGAATAATGGATGTTCTGGATTTTTTCCGGTAAAAACTCAAGAAGATTGTCCGATAGGCCCAGAAATGCAACCCCATTTTGCAAAAGGTCAATTGCTGAGGGTTCAATAATTTTTATATTATTTCTAGATACGTCAAGATATTTTGTTCTTTGCAAATAACCTACTGCTTCCAAGAAGGTAATGGAATTATCGCCAAAAAGCAGTTTTAAATTACCGTCGGGAACCGTGGACGGTAAACGTGTCAAGTTTCTACCACGGCAGTCAACCAACATCTGTTTTTTCTCCGGCTGATCCTGACATAAACAATCTTGAGGACATTTGTCCGTGACGTTACACACAAACGCATCCAGTGGCAGATCTAGCACTTGCTTTCCTTTCAGATGAGCTGGACTGTCGCAGAGGACATTGAAGTAGTTCCTCCATATTACCATAGGTAAATTCGATGCCAGGTGGAGAAATTCATGAAAATTACAATCACAGATCCACTTATTATGTCTGAAGTCAAATCCCCACGCCATAAATATACCAATAATTTTCAGATCATGAATTCCATAGATCTTCAATTCCTCTGACACCCATTTCGTATACAAATTGTGAGAAAAGTCCACCATACCGGGTCCATAGCTTTTGGATACATCCACGAACCAGTTTTCTTCGTTTGAGAAATGGGATATCTTATTGTAACTTAGGTCGAAATAACAGAAGTCATGGGTAATCCTCATCGGCCAGGCCTCAGACGCTGTCAGCTCGTTGTGGTCAAGATGAACCATCATCAATCCATGTAAGTCTTCATTGAACACTCCTGGCTCAATAGTATGTATTTTATTATGAGCAAGGTTGATGTATCTCAACCTTTCCAAACCAAAGAACACACCCGTCTCAACAGATTTAATTTCCTGGTTGAAAAGTACCAGAGCTATCAAATTCTTCAGACAGCTAAGGCTGGGAATCGTTTCGATATAACCGTTCACCGCACGTATGCTTGCAATGTTGGGATAATCACATATATCCTCAGGGAGACGTGTGATGCACGGGTTTGAGAAGAAGAGTCGGAATGGGGATGTTTTGTTGGTTCCGGCTGGTAGGAGGAGGGTGACGTTGTCAGGCTGACTGCAGTCGTAATTTAAGATGAGGTTCGGCAGTCTGTCCTCTCTCATGTTAGTGCAACATTCCATGTAATCTACAGAACACTGAAGGACGTCCTCCACGGTGACACTGGTTCCGACAGACACACTGATCAAGACAATCGCGATGAGGAAAACCAAACGTAGTGACAGAAAAAACAGCATTATTTGTGTCTTCAAAAACTGTCTGTTAAAAGATGGACACTTGTTTGTGTGTCTTTCAAATCTGTCTGCTGAAAGACGAACACGAGTTTCTTTCAAACCTGTGTCGTCTGCTCGAAGACACTGACATTGATCAAGGCCGGTGCGTCGGTACCACCAACTCGACTCCAATAACTCTGCCGTCTGCTAAAAGTTACAGATCACGCAAAATGTCCTCTCCCAGTCGTGCTCCTGCTCTGGGCTGCCACTTCTCCATGCATGGTCTCTGACATCAATTCAACATGTGCAAGTCACTCCCAAAACAAATGTCTACGATGTAGGATCACGCCAAACACAAGCCTGATTAGGTGGGAGTTAATCCTGATACATAGTGAATGTGCGAGTTGCCTCGTTCAGACGCGTTTAGCCAAGTGGCGCTGAATTAACATTCGACTCACCTCTCAAAACAAACACTCTGAATCGCCCACTTCGTGATATTTATATTTCAACACCACGAGTCTGTGTCAGAGCATTTCAGTGCGTATGCTCAGCGTCCATTGGCTGAGAGTAGTAATGTAGAAGTTCAAAGGTCAAAAGTCGCACCTCACTGCGCACATAAGCAGACGACAATATTTCAAACCGCAGTGAGGCAAGTCTACGGTTGGCGGTCAGAAACGTGATCACAGGCTGATTATGTCATTGTGTCACATGTATTCTTACCAACAGCTGTATGTGTCGCGATCGATAGCAGACATCAGTGAATGTTACAAAGAAACCATTCAACTATAGACTATATGTATAACAACGTCCTGTTTATTGCATTCGGCAACAGTTCTATAGACGTTTTGGTGCACTCTTACACCGTTATCAAGCATCAACTACATCGAGGGGGCACGGGTGGCCCAGTCGTCTAAGGCGCCGCGATTCGCTGTGCAGAATTGCGTCCCTTGGGCACGCCAGAAACCTATGATTGTTGGTTCGAATCCCGGTTCCCCCCGATTATGTTTGTAGGTTTGTCAGCACCATACCCGTGCTCGTGGGTTTCACCGAAGTGGTAAACGTTTGAGACCTCACTTCGGGCTTTCCTCCCACATTAAGCTGACCCGCCGCGATATAACTGGAATACTGTTAAAAGCGGCGTAAAACCCAACTCACTCACTCACTCACTCAGCTACATCGAATCTAAATTGAAAGATGTCACACTAAACGTTTCTCGACTGCAGTTAGATTTAATTACATTTTTGAAGCATGATGTAAGAGTGATTTTTAAGGGACTGGTCATTTATTATAGTTGTGGGTGTGGGGTGTTGAGATAGGTGTAAGAACTGTTTCATATTTTTCTGCCCCCAATAATATGCATGATTTTTTCATGCCCGCCAACAAAAACGTAACATTTTTTCATGACCCTCCACCCTCACCCCCAGCCGCTCCTCCCTGGAATATATGTCCTGTCCCTAAATAGGTTCACATGTATAGCTTATACATTTATAGTTGTCATACAGTCTGGCCATCCCCCCACCCCCACCCCCATCTTTCTCTGTTTGATATTTACACCTCCCCCGCGCGTTAAGCTCACCTCCCCACCTCCCCTATAACCAGTCCCTAAACCATGACCAGTCCCTAAACTCCCAACTGCTGTCTGCAAACGGATCGCAGCATCCACCCGCTCTCCCATTTTCAAAACGCTGAGTCCGTACCTTTCTAGCTAATGGGTTTACAACAACATAATATTTATTGGACATGTATAGAAATGCGTACGATTCTCTTACAAGCACCAGGGAGTGACCCATTAATACAATGTCATATCCTGGTGTGAAAAATAGGTTATGCGCTCGTTTGTACGCGAAACCTGTTCACTGAAGTAAGACATACTTAGAGGGCATATTGTTGAGAGACTATGAAAACAAATCAATTTGCTGCACACTCTACTTTTATCTGCATATGTGAACAGAATCAAAGGGGATTCCCCTCCAAGTTCTCCCAGCCTAGGGCGAGATGACGAGACACACACATGTTAAGTTGATCATAAAAAATGCCCACTGGAGTCTCAGACCAGGAAGTAATCATATGTAAAAGTGTTGCCCGTTTGTCTTCTCCGGTTTTGCTCTGATACCGCAGTCGTCGACGTAATTAGCGTCGGGTGTGAAACACGTTCACAAACCGATCTTAGCGCTACCACTGTCGAATGTCTGCGTCGAAGTATGAGGATTACAACAATATATGCAGTAGACGGGGGTACATTTCTCAGTGCTCATTCCATATCGTTAACGAAATATTCTTTGTATTTTTCTGCGTAGAACACAGTGCGCCATAACCGATCACTTCGTCAAATATTGATAATTGAAAGAAAAAACAAATCTAGTGATCCTTATTCATTCGTGTATGGTCCTGTTTCGCGTACACAAGATCGGTCGAGATTCCAAGCGTGGAAGGCTAACTTAGAGTCAAGCAGTGGAGGGTGGTTGTTGTTTGGATGGGCTATGGGGAGGGTGTGGATGGCTTCTATCAAGGGACGTAACGGAGTCGTCAGGAACGACATTAATGTCGTTGTTTGTCTGGTTTTCTGTCGAACATGTCTAGGACTAGTCTAGCATCCACAACTCAGTACTCAGTATACTTCAATATTTGAAGTTGCCTACAGGATCGCTCTTTTGAAAGAAAACTATTGCTTTCAAATACTTTTTTTCTCTGCGGTGATGTGGTCATTAAATACATATTATCCTTGATACACTATTAAAGTGTTGGTTGCACACCATCGGTTATCTTTGACACACTATGAAAGTCTAGGTTGCACCGTGGGTTATCCTTGACACACTATTAAAATGTTGGTTGCACCGTGGGTTATCCTTGACACACTATGAAAGACTAGGTTGCACCCTTGGTTAGCCTTGACACACTAGGAACGTCTAGGTTGGACCGTGGGTTATCCTTGACACACTATTAAAATGTTGGTTGCACCCAGGGTTATCCTTGACACACTATGAACGTCTAGGTTGCACCGTGGGTTATGCTTGACACACTATGAACGTCTAGGTTGCACCGTGGGTTATCTTTGACACATTATGAAAGTCTAGGTTGCACCGTGGGTTATCTTTGACACATTATGAAAGTCTAGGTTGCACCTTAAGTTATCCTTGACACTTTATGAACGTCTTGTTTGCACCGTGGGTTATCCTTGACATATTATGAACGTCTAGGTTGCACCGTGGGTTATCCTTGACACTATGAAAGTCTAGGTTGCACCGTGGATTATCCTTGACACTTTATGAAAGTCTAGGTTGCACCGTGGGCTATCCTTGACACACTATGAACGTCTAGGTTGCATCGTGGGCTATCCTTGACACATTATGAACGTCTAGGTTGCACCGTGGGTTATCATTGACACACTAGGAACGTCTAGGTTGCACCGTGGGTTATCATTGACACACTAGGAACGTCTAGGTTGCACCGTGGGTTATCCTTGACACACTATGAACGTGTAGGTTGCACCGTGGGTTATCACTGACACACTATGAAAGTCACGGTTGCACCGTGGGTTATCCTTGACATACTATGAACGTCTGGGTTGCACCGTGGGTTATCCTTGACACACTATGGGCGTCTAGGTTGCACCGTGGGTTATCTTTGACATACTATGAACGTCTAGGTTGCAGCGTGGGTTATCTTTGACACACTATGAACGTCTAGGTTGCAACGTGGGTTATCTTTGACACACTATGAACGCCTAGGTTGCACCTTAAGTTATCCTTGACATACTATGAACGTCTAGGTTGCAGCGTGGGTTATCTTTGACACACTATGTGCAACGTGGGTTATCATTGACACATTGTGAACGTCTAGGTTGCACCTTAAGTTATCCTTGACACTTTATGAAGGTCTTGTTTGCACCGTGGGTTATCCTTGACACTATGAAAGTCTAGGTTGCACCGTGGATTATCCTTGACACATTATGAAAGTCTAGGTTGCACCGTGGGCTATCCTTGACACACTATGAACGTCTAGGTTGCATCGTGGGCTATCCTTGACACATTATGAACGCCTAGGTTGCACCGTGGGTTATCCTTGACACTATGAACGTCTAGGTTGCACCATGGGTTATCCTTGACACAATTTGAAAGTCTAGGTTGCACCGTGGGTTATCCTTGACACATTATGAACGTCTAGGTTGCACCGTGGGTTATCATTGACACATTATGAACGTCTAGGTTGCACCTTAAGTTATCCTTGACACTTTATGAACGTCTTGTTTGCACCGTGGGTTATCCTTGACACTATGAAAGTCTAGGTTGCACCGTGGATTATCCTTGACACATTATGAAAGTCTAGGTTGCACCGTGGGCTATCCTTGACACACTATGAACGTCTAGGTTGCACCATGGGTTATCCTTGACACATTATGAAAGTCTACGTTGCACCGTGGGTTATCCTTGACACACTATGAACGTCTAGGTTGCACCATGGGTTATCCTTGACACATTATGAAAGTCTAGGTTGCACCGTGGGTTATCCTTGACACATTTTGAACGTGTAGGTTGCACCGTGGGTTATCATTGACACACTAGGAACGTCTAGGTTGCACCGTGGGTTATCCTTGACACACTATGAACGTGTAGGTTGCACCGTGGGTTATCCTTGACACACTATGAACGTGTAGGTTGCACCGTGGGTTATCATTGACACACTATGAAAGTCACGGTTGCACCGTTGGTTATCCTTGACATACTATGAACGTCTAGATTGCACCGTGGGTTATCCTTGACACACTATGGACGTCTAGGTTGCACCGTGGGTTATCCTTGACACATTTTGAAAGTCACGGTTGCAACGTGGGTTATCCTTGACACATTATGGACGTCTAGGTTGAACCGTGGGTTATCTTTGACATACTATGAACGTCTAGGTTGCACCGTGGGTTATCTTTGACACACTATGAACGTCTAGGTTGCAGCGTGGGTTATCTTTGACACACTATGAAAGTCTAGGTTGCACCGTGGGTTATCTTTGACACACTTTGAACGTCTAGGTTGCAGCGTGGGTTATCTTTGACACACTATGAAAGTCTAGGTTGCACGGTGGGTTATCTTTGACACACTATGAACGCCTAGGTTGCACCTTAAGTTATCCTTGACATACTATGAACGTCTAGGTTGCAGCGTGGGTTATCTTTGACACACTATGAACGTCTAGGTTGCACCGTGGGTTATCCTTGACACACTATGAAAGTCTAGGTTGCAACGTGGGTTATCATTGACACATTATGAACGTCTAGGTTGCACCTTAAGTTATCCTTGACATACTATGAACGTCTAGGTTGCAGCGTGGGTTATCTTTAACACACTATGAACGTCTAGCATGGACCGAGGGTTATCCTCGCTGAAACGTCAAAGGCCGGACTCGACAAAGCTATGATAATGAACCATTGTTACCTGGTTGAATAAACTGGTATATTTATACTGACTCTCGACTCCCTGCGCGAGTATTCATCTAAAGTATAGGTTTGGTTGTTTCTTGTTTAACGCCGTCCTCAGCAATATTCTAGCTATATGACGGCGGTCTGTAAATAGACCAGTCAAAGCAGACAATCCAGTGATTGAGATTATGAACATCGAGGTTATCCTCGCTGAAACA